CTAGGGTCTATTGTTGCTGTACCACCATGGGTATGGAACCTAGTAATTTTTTTTAGTCAATTATAGTTTAAGAGCTTCAAGAAGAATTCAAAATGGAAAAGCCTATAAATTAAAAAAAAGAATGGATAAAAATTACAATTAATGCTTGGTAAAAATTTGATATTATTATTTCTCTGACATGTAACCACCAAATACTGCCATAAGTCACCACAAAGAAAGATCTACTTAACTGAAATTTAAAGAGTTGAAAAGAAGCTTAAAATTTCATCAAAAATGTTTAAATGCTTATATGATTGCACAATATTAATTTATATAGTTATATTCAAAGTTGTTAAGTTCAAAGTTTTTATTGTATAGTTATTAAGATATACTTTATTTTTTACTGTTAACTGCTTTTGAAATTAAACAAAAATATTCTTTATAAGTAATTAAAATTAATTTAACGAGCCCTTTCTTACACATAAAATTTAATTTAGTAAATTGAATTATTTTATAAATTCTCATGGTGTTACAACTTCTTTGTAAAAATAATTATTTAGGAAAATTACAACAGTTAGGGGAACAATAATTTCATAAGAATATTGTTAATTATCTGAATTGTTTATACACACCGCCACAAAAAGATATTTCAGCTATACAATTCAAAACCAGAATTCATTTACATTTTTTTTTCAGGTTAAAAGATTTTACTAGTGGATATGTAAAAATATTTTCTGTCAGTATATTTATCTTTGATTTTAATGAAGTTAGTTTAGTTCTGTGATCAGTTTATATTATATGCAAACTTGTCTGTTATTAACAAATAAGTGTTAAGTGCCTGTTCATTTATTATATAGGTTAAAAAATTGAGGCTTGAATTTAAGTTAAATGGAGTTAATGCAAACATGTTACTTAAGATTATGAATTCATAATTCAGCATAAACAATAGATGTATTGTTTCAGGGATGTGTCAAAAAATAAAATACAAGTCTTTTCTTAACTATGAATAAAGTGAGAGTGTACAAAACAAGATATTCTATAAATATTATTTCACCATTCCTACAGTAAATTGCAATTTTAAAGTGCCAAATTTTGAATTGGATGTAAACTGTTAATTTTCTTATGAATGTCTCGGAACACTTCTACTGTCTCTTCCACACAAGTTATTAATACAAATGTTATTCCACTTACATTCCTTTCACAGCTAAGCAGATGAAAAAACAGTATGCATGTAACTATGAAGAGGTAATATCATCATGTTAGTGTGAAAAACAATAAAAAATAAAGTATTAGAAATAAAAAATGTAATTCATGGCAGTTAAATGTTAAGTCAGCTAAAATGATGGCAAGCCTTATACAGTCAATTCTATAGCCACAAAAACCTTAAACTTTATGAATATGAAGCATGCATTGTCAAAACTTTCTTCTGAGAATGATGTTATACCCAAGATTATTCAATGATCCATGTTTACCCATAAAGCATATTTTCGTATTCCAAAATTAGGTCTTTATCATGTCATCTCATTGCTTGCATATTAACTAAAATCCAGAAAATGGCCAAAAGTGGCATTCTTCGGGTAAAACACTAATAAAGAGGTTATGCTTTTAGAATGTTGCTAAAACTTGTGTGTTAATCTGAGTAGAATAATGAAAGCAAAACTTTTAATGTTTGTATGTTTGCTCATATAATTTCCTTGGTACACGTTCTAAAGTATGACAGAAAAACTAGAAAATTTTATTCATAAAAGCATAACTTATTCTAATTTTAATTTGGTTAGTTTGTTTTTCATAAGTCATTTAAAAACTATTCATAACGATTTCATGACATCTCTGCATATTTCCTTGGTTCATAAAAATAATCATCAGATCTATCTTATGTTTATGCAGAATGCTGTGTTTTTTAAGCAGATTTTTCACTTAAAATCTAAATACCATCAGCATATTTAAAAATGCACATTAACAAGTCGTAAAGCAGCTATAACATTTCAAAAACTTCAACAAGCAATAACAGAACTTTCATTTCCTTTCCTAGATTCTTAGCATCCACAAACTATAGTAGTTTCAGCATTTTGTTATTTTAAAACATACTTACCTGGCTCTTTGCATCCGTGAGCTAACACACTGTCGAAGCCTGCTGGAGGTTTCACCAAACTTGGGTCATCTTGGGTGATGACCTTTTCCTTTCCAAGAGCAACTTCACTCAAGAACATGATACCAATACCATGACAGGGACCCACTATATAACCATTGTAAGTTAAATATTTTACATAAAAGTTTTTAAGTTAAAATGATTATAAATTTCATTTTCAACAAAAAAAACC